GGTAAAATACACATAAAATTTATTATCTTAACAATTTTTAAGTACAGTGGCATTAAGTGCATTCACATTGTTGTGTTACTATCACCATCATTCATCCACAGAACTCTTTTCATCTTACAAAGAAACTCTATAACCATAAAACTCTAATTCCCTATTCCCCTCTCCTCCTAGTCCCTGGCAACCACCATTCTACTTTCTGTCACTATGAATTTTAATATTCTAGGTACCTCGTGTAAGTGAAATCATACAGTATTTGTCTTTCAAGACTGACTTGATTTCACTTATCAAGTGAATGTGTAATGACCTCAAGTTTTCTCCATGTTATAGCCTGTGTCAGAAATGCCTTCCTTTTTAAGGCTGAATATTTCATTGTATATACATACCGTATTTTGTTTATCCACTCATCCATTGATGAACACTTGGTTTGCTTACACCTTTTGACTATTATATAGTGCTCTGCTATGAACATGAATATACAAATATCTCTTTGCATTCTTGCCTTCAATTCCTTTGGGTATAATATCCAGAAGTGAGATTGCCGAATCATATGGTAGTCCTATTTTTAATTTTTTGAGGAATCATCATATGTTTTCCATAATAGCTGTACCATTTTACATTCCTACTGACAGTGCACAAGGGTTCCAATTTCTTTGGATCCTCATCAACACTTACTGTTTTTTGATAGCAGCCATCCTAATGGGTGTGAGGTGGTAGCTCACTGTGATTTTTATTTGCATTACCTTAATGTTTAGTGATGTTGGGCATCTTTTCTTGTGGTTATTGGCAATTAGTATATCTCCTTTGGAGAAGTATCTATTTAAGTCCTTTGTCCATTTTATGATTGGGTTGTTTTTTGTTTGTTTGCTGGTGATGCCACTCGCTAATTTTTAAACTGTCCTTCCCTTAGCATGTTATTCCATTTTATAGATAAGGAAACTTTAGTTCAGAGTGGTAAAGTGAGCATAGTAAACTGTTCACAAGCACTGTTCTCATCTCATCAAATATAAAGATAAGCAATTATTTGAATATTGATTTGGCATGTATTAAGGGCAGCATAAGTATGATAGAGGCTGGGGATATTGGGTTTACAGTTACTAGAGGGAGACAAATAAATAAACGGGCAATATTAATATAATGTGACATACCATAATAGGGGAAGCATATGATGCTAGTTATATTTGGGAAACTGAGTAGTTCAGGATAGCTAGAGCTCTGAGTATAAAGAATAGCTAGAAATGAGGCTGGAGAGGGAGATTGGTGAGAGTTCTTAGTTGCAAGCAACAGAATCTGCTCAAACTTATTTAAGCAGAAAATACATTTGTAAAATATTGAGTAGTTTGCATTTTCAAGAGGGCCAGAGAGTGGGGCCTAGAGGCCGCAGGACCAGAAGCAATGCCCAAATAACCCCACAGGACTTTCAGCAAAGACTCCACTGCCACCACCCTGTTGATGTGGTCACTGGCGGTCACTGGATGTCACTGGCCACAGTGACACAGACATCCAAACCTCCATTATGGCTGCCCCCACCAAAGCTGATTTCCTCTACTCTCATCCTTGTCTTAAAAATGGATTCTCTGGAGAGCTTGTTTCCTCACATAGTCCACTTCTGAAAAGAATCTTGCACGATTGTGTCTCATGGACAGAGCCTGAGTTCTCCAGATGCAACTTGCGAAAATGAGTTTTTCTGGCTTCTATCTCCAGTGGCCAAGACTCATAAGGGAGGCAACTCCCCAATCATAGAAAAAGGTTCAACAAGTAAGGGCATTTTCACACAAAAACTCGTACAAGAATGTTCATAGCAGTTTTATTTGTAATAGCTCCAAATGGGAAATAGTACAAGCGTTCTTTAAAAGGTGAGTGGTGAAACTGTTGTGCATCTATACCATGGAGTATTACTCAGCAATAAAAGGAATGGCCTACTGATGCATGCACCAACTTGGCTGGATCTCCAGGGAATTGTGCTGAGTGAAAGAAGCCAACTTCAAAAGACTGTATGCGGTGTTATTCCATTTATATAACATTTTTGAAATGACAAAATTTTAGAAATGGAGAACAAATTATTAGTTGCCAGGGGTCAAGGATGGAGAGAGAGGGCACTGTGGGAGGTAGATGAGTATGATTATAATGAGGGATATAATGTTCTATATTTTGACTATAGAGGGGGATATATGGACCTACACATATGATAAATATTATAAAACTAAACATACACGTACACATAGACATAAATCAATACACATAAAACTGGAAACTTGAATAAAATTGGTGGATTATATAAATGTCAATATTCTGGTTATGAATTTACACTATAGTTTTGCAAGATGTTAGCATTGGAAGAAACAGCAAAGGGTACATGGGATCTCTCTGTATTAATGACAAGTTAATCTACAATTATCATTATAAAAATTAAGAAAAAAAGCAGTGGGATGCCAGAAAACTAGGAATTTAGGACTTTATTTTAAGAGCTGGGGGAAACTATCGAGGGATTTTAAATAGGGGTGACACATGTCTTCATTTAGCACCTATTTTCTGTCCAATGGTAGGATAATGTTATCCTAGTTTAAGTTACAATTGTGACATTTTAATTTAAAATAAAATTTAAAAGATCTATTTTTTAAAAAAAAAAAAAACCTAATGTGGTTTCCCAGACTTTCCAGGAAGGCAATTTTTGGCCCAACATATGAACTCTGATTCCTCCTGCCACAGAAATAATAAGGATTTGTTCTCTCATTCCTTCCACATGCATTTATTAAGCATTTGCTATAGGTCAGGCACTGTGCCAGGCACTATAGATTTGCAAATGAATAATACAGTCCTGCTCTTGAGAAATTGCATTGTTCGACCCTGGGCAAAAAAAACAATGGTTCCAATAAGAAAGGAATTTATCTCAGTGTCATGTAACCTGAAGACTAGGGACAAAGATCCAGAGTTGATTCAGTGGCCTCACAATGTCACCAATATCCCAGGCTCCTCCTATCTTTTTGCTCCACTATCCTTAGCATATTTTTCCCCTCCTCAAACGTATCTCATAGTTGCAAGGTAGACATTGCTGCTCAGCTTGCATAAGAAAG